TGGGTGTTTTTGTTTAACGCCGCACTCAGCAATATTCCAGCTATATGACGGCGGTTATTGTTAATGCCTGGCCCTTCCATACACTATAAGGATTCCTCGCTAGGATTTGTAAACGTTTTGTCCCTGTTTGTTTATGAAATTGTCCCACAAAACAAGATGGACATTTAAACGTAGTGTCCACACAGGTGTGCTACGTAAGGCGGCGTCTTTGATGTAGGTGTAAAGTTTTGACAGGTAAGTGAGTACACGCTCACCTGGTGGAGGCTACTTTAATGTACCGCTACCTCGTCGACGACTGCTACCGTTTTAATTAGGTAAACAAAGATATAGTTCTTATTGCTGTGAAAACAATCAAGATGTTTCAACTTAAACAGCATGGCGGCTATACATGAAGAAAGAATTCCTGATTATTAACAACACAGACGTGGGAGTAATGAGTGGGTGGTGTATGGTGGTTGACTTAAAAGAAGCCCGATGGTCATGGTACGGGTATAAAGTCGAAAACTTCCATCCTTGAGTCATCAGTCATAGAGCTGCCCTAATCGAAACCAGCAAGACTTGTCACCGAGATCATCTTCACATTTCGAGCATTTTCTCTTTTAAAAGTATTCTATACAATTACCACACTATAATGAAAGTGAAGAGCCCCGAAACCAAGCCAAGCAAGTGTACCGTCAACAAGACAATCGTTCCGGCAAGGAATAGAATCAAATACTCTGCTAGTCAGGTAAACATTTAATTGCTCGAAACGTGAATAGGAAGAAAACATAAACTATTGTTATTTCAAAAGTAAATCGAAATACAAATTTAACACGTTTTCATCTCCGCTATTCATATCCACAGTTGAGGCAACTGGAGAAGGTATTCGTGTCCTCTCAGTATCCTGACAGCTCCATCTTGGAGGATCTCTCCAACACCATCAACATCGACGTAGAGAGACTATCGGTAAGTAAATCCTCTTTATTACACCTAACAGAAGTTCTCGAAAGAGATAATTGATCACACAATACACAATATCATAGTGATATAAAACTCTCTTTCTTGTCCTTTTAAATGTACATAGGACCCATGAAATGTACTGAAGGGAAATTCTAACTTTTACTGCTTTATTCAGTTTATATGGTACATAGTTTGGACTTAAAGAATTGTTGTATATTTCATTTCATAATCTTTTCAACCCATATAAAAGACCCTGATTTCATGAAATGTCTCTATAATAATGACCTCTTTCTGCCATACAGATCTGGTTCCAGAACCGCCGTTCCAAGTTCAAGCGTCAGTCTAAAGGTGCTCACGTGAACTGGATGAGACAGCAACTGTATCAACAAGGAACGTCACGGTCACGTGACGTAACGGCTACGGACGAGTGTCACGTGCTCACACCACCAACGACTTCCAAGAAAGATGACGTGAAAGACAAACCCAAATCAAAGTAAGTACACACCAAGTTAGTTACACAGGCGCGTAGTGGGCTGTTATTAGCTTCAACACAATGGCATGTCTGTCTCGGACTAACAACAATCTCTTCTCTTCTTCAGCCTCCACTACCTACCCAGCACTGGACCCGGCTGCTCCTCAGTGACGGACTACGACCCCGTCTACAACCCCCTGATGTACCCATCATCACACAACGTCTACAGCGCACTCAGTGACGCAGTATCCTGTACACGGCCTACCCAGAATACTCTCCACTACCCACATCTGATGACAGAAACATCCTTCCAAGTCACACCATGCCCGCAACAGTGGACAGAGTATTCCAACCAGTCCAACTTCAGCTCTCCCGGAACTCCATACTACCAGAATTATCTACCCCACTTCAACTTCCTAAGCGATCAGATGACATTTCCCCAGATAGGCGTCTAGAACTTTCGGGAATGTATTAGTGGTCAGATGAAGAACGAGGGCGTAATTTGTGCAATATGCACTGCAGTCCAATGTTGAACTCATCTTGGGCCTGATTTGTTACTATTAATGTATATATTGTTGTGTTTACGTTATGGATTGCAACTGTCATTTGAAGAGGACTGTGTAAATGTTTCTGAGATAATAAACATTATCTGAAAACTATCATTTCATGTTCTTATGCAGCACGCATTTTCCCACTTTCATGTAAACCACGATTACAAATATCTTACTAACAAAGGATCCTAAACAGGCGAATCTTGGATTCGAACACATGATTGGTGGATGTTGGTTGGACTAAGAGACAAACCTCTTCACAGTTCAAATGAATCTGCTTGAAGGAAACTTTTATTGTGAAATTTAACCGTCTTTAGGTTGTGTGATATGAAATATAAAGCATTGTATAAATCATTTTTTTAGCAAAGCCACCCTCACAGATATAGATCCTCACCTTCTTCGAAACATGTGTGTTGCAACTGCGACAGATATCCTGCTTTGCTCAGGTCACATATTTAAGAGTGTTGTGGTTACATATGTTCCATCGTATATAGGTAATAACTAAAACATTAAATGAAGCTATGTTTTCAAGGCTTGAATGATACATTTGGCATCAAATAACACTCATGTTAAACTTTGAAGCTGCTCAGTTACGGTCAATGTGATAACCCGATCTATGCCTGTAAGGTATTATCAACAACTTTCGAATGCACTTGTAATCGCCATGTTGCGTATATGAGCCAAACCTTCATGCTGACGTTATCGGATTATCGGGCGCTTCCTTTGGATACCATTGGCTTAATAACAAGTTACCGTCTGGGAGCGTAAAACATACATATAAGGCGTGTCGGACAAACCAATTACGTCAATCAGTACTGTACATACATTATATACCACTAGTTCAAACCATTCATTATTTCATATGGTGAGAGATACAGACTGATAAACGGGAAATTTACCTACAGGGTGACCCTTGTATTGCAGAAAAGCCAAGCAAGTAATGGTACAGCAATCACAGTATAAGGTGTCATTTACAGATATTTGGATTATTACCACGAAAAAGTACATGGCAATAGTTTCAACAGCTTTAGAAAAGTTTGCCAAATCAATACTGACATTAAATTCTTCATAACCATCATTTAGGATCCGATTTTCTGTCAAAATACCATATGCATCTTCCAAATGTTATATATCAATTTATTTATGTGTCAGTTCAGGTACGTAATGTGTATTTCATTATCATATTGTGAGGCGCTAAATATACAGGTGAGGAACATCAAACGTCCCATGAAATACTTGCACCTTATCCCTCTATAAATTGTAAACATAGTTGCTGACTTTTCAGTTTCATGTGGGTTGTGAGTCTTCACTAAATGTTAAGTCCAAAAACATCTCTACACTTTAGTGTCAGCCAACTTCTTCTAATATTTCGATCAAATGATAATATCCCTAACGTCGGAATATATAGAATCTGAGCGTGATCTTGAAATCGCTCAGTTAGCATAGAGTAAAATATTTAGAAGTTAATAAAGTGAAATATAAATAGCTACAAAGAGAAAAGTAATTTTACGTGTTATTGGTGGTTATGATGGACACGTAACTTGAAAATTGCAAGGATTTTACCAAACCTAAAATTCTTAAGAGAGGCGGGCGGTCGGGTAGCCTAGTGGTTAAAGCGTTCGCTCGTCACGCCGAAGACCCGGGTTCGATTCCCGACATGGGTACAATGTGTGAAGCCCATTTCTGGTGTCCCCCGCCGTGATATTGCTGGAATATTGCTAAAAGCGGCGTAAAACCATACTCACTCACTCACTCACTTAAGAGAGGCGGATAAAGACAATGAAATAAACTTTCCATATTCATATTAAGAATTTGTGTCAAACAAACACTCGATTGTATAATTCCGACCATATCATGAGTTTGTTTCCATTAATCGCCATCAAGTAGTGATAATACCAGCTGTTGGCGAAAAGGCGAGCGTATCCGCCTCCGCTATTTTCCCGGTTGCACCCCGTCACAAACACATGCAAAACCAAGTCAATTGTTCACCCGAAAAAAAACCAAGGGAACAAGTTAAAAAAGGGAACTGTATCAAGCATCATTTGGTCACTGATGAGTCAAATTTGGAAATGTCATCCACATGTCTACCACAAAACGTTTTAAAAGCTTTATGTCGTAACTAAGAACACTCTTTGAAATCACCGTGGAAAGAGCTTGCTCGAGTGTACCTCAAAAGTTGTGAAATGTAGACAGTTGGGAACCATTTTTCTTGGCTCACGACATATAAACGCCTTATTTCTTTTGAACAAATACATGATCATCGAGATTTTTCTGTATCCTCTTATTCCAAAGGTGTTCAATTATATAATGGAAATGCGTTTCAAGCTTATTACGAGCATAACTGTTTCACACAATAACAAATAAGTTATCCTTGTGAAGACTACGGTATTGTTAATGTTTTTGGGTGTTTTTGTTTAACGCCGCACTCAGCAATATTCCAGCTATATGACGGCGGTTATTGTTAATGCCTGGCCCTTCCATACACTATAAGGATTCCTCGCTAGGATTTGTAAACGTTTTGTCCCTGTTTGTTTATGAAATTGTCCCACAAAACAAGATGGACATTTAAACGTAGTGTCCACACAGGTGTGCTACGTAAGGCGGCGTCTTTGATGTAGGTGTAAAGTTTTGACAGGTAAGTGAGTACACGCTCACCTGGTGGAGGCTACTTTAATGTACCGCTACCTCGTCGACGACTGCTACCGTTTTAATTAGATAAACAAAGATATAGTTCTTATTGCTGTGAAAACAATCAAGATGTTTCAACTTAAACAGCATGGCGGCTATACATGAAGAAAGAATTCCTGATTATTAACAACACAGACGTGGGAGTAATGAGTATGGTGGTTGACTTAAAAGAAGCCCGATGGTCATGGTACGGGTATAAAGTCGAAAACTTCCATCCTTGAGTCATCAGTCATAGAGCTGCCCTAATCGAAACCAGCAAGACTCGTCACCGAGATCATCTTCACATTTCGAGCATTTTCTCTTTTAAAAGTATTCTATACAATTACCACACTATAATGAAAGTGAAGAGCCCCGAAACCAAGCCAAGCAAGTGTACCGTCAACAAGACAATCGTTCCGGCAAGGAACAGAATCAAGTACTCTGCTAGTCAGGTAAACATTTAATTGCTCGAAACGTGAATAGGAAGAAAACATAAACTATTGTTATTTCAAAAGTAAATCGAAATACAAAGTTAACACGTTTTCATCTCCGCTATCCATATCCACAGTTGAGGCAACTGGAGAAGGTATTCGTGTCCTCTCAGTATCCTGACAGCTCCATCTTGGAGGATCTCTCCAACACCATCAACATCGACGTAGAGAGACTATCGGTAAGTAAATCCTCTTTATTACACCTAACAGAAGTTCTCGAAAGAGATAATTGATCACACAATACACAATATCATAGTGATATAAAACTCTCTTTCTTGTCCTTTTAAATGTACATAGGACCCATGAAATGTACTGAAGGGAAATTCTAACTTTTACTGCTTTATTCAGTTTATATGGTACATAGTTTGGACTTAAAGAATTGTTGTATATTTCATTTCATAATCTTTTCAACCCATATAAAAGACCCTGATTTCATGAAATGTCTCGATAATAATGACCTCTTTCTGCCATACAGATCTGGTTCCAGAACCGCCGTTCCAAGTTCAAGCGTCAGTCTAAAGGTGCTCACGTGAACTGGATGAGACAGCAACTGTATCAACAAGGAACGTCACGGTCACGTGACGTAACGGCTACGGACGAGTGTCACGTGCTCACACCTCCAACGACTTCCAAGAAAGATGACGTGAAAGACAAACCCAAATCAAAGTAAGTACACACCAAGTTAGTTACACAGGCGCGTAGTGGGCTCTTATTAGCTTCAACACAATGGCATGTCTGTCTCGGACTAACAACAATCTCTTCTCTTCTTCAGCCTCCACTACCTACCCAGCACTGGACCCGGCTGCTCCTCAGTGACGGACTACGACCCCGTCTACAACCCCCTGATGTACCCATCATCACACAACGTCTACAGCGCACTCAGTGACGCAGTATCCTGTACACGGCCTACCCAGAATACTCTCCACTACCCACATCTGATGACGGAAACATCCTTCCAAGTCACACCATGCCCGCAACAGTGGACAGAGTATTCCAACCAGTCCAACTTCAGCTCTCCCGGAACTCCATACTACCAGAATTATCTACCCCACTTCAACTTCCTAAGCGATCAGATGACATTTCCCCAGATAGGCGTCTAGAACTTTCGGAATGTATTAGTGGTCAGATGAAGAACGAGGGCGTAATTTGTGCAATATGCACTGCAGTCCAATGTTGAACTCATCTTGGGCCTGCTTTGTTACTATTAATGTATATATTGTTGTGTTTACGTTATGGATTGCAACTGTCATTTGAAGAGGACTGTGTAAATGTTTCTGAGATAATAAACATTATCTGAAAACTATCATTTCATGTTCTTATGCAGCACGCATTTTCCCACTTTCATGTAAACCACGATTACAAATATCTTACTAACAAAGGATCCTAAACAGGCGAATCTTGGATTCGAACACATGATTGGTGGATGTTGGTTGGACTAAGAGACAAACCTCTTCACAGTTCAAATGAATCTGCTTGAAGGAAACTTTTATTGTGAAATTTAACCGTCTTTAGGTTGTGTGATATGAAATATAAAGCATTGTATAAATCATTTTTAGCAAAGCCACCCTCACAGATATAGATCCTCACCTTCTTCGAAACATGTGTGTTGCAACTGCGATAGATATCCTGCTTTGCTCAGGTCACATATTTAAGAGTGTTGTGGTTACATATGTTCCATCGTATATAGGTAATAACTAAAACATTAAATGAAGCTATGTTTTCAAGGCTTGAATGATACATTTGGCATCAAATAACACTCATGTTAAACTTTGAAGCTGCTCAGTTACGGTCAATGTGATAACCCGATCTATGCCTGTAAGGTATTATCAACAACTTTCGAATGCACTTGTAATCGCCATGTTGCGTATATGAGCCAAACCTTCATGCTGACGTTATCGGATTATCGGGCGCTTCCTTTGGATACCATTGGCTTAATAACAAGTTACCGTCTGGGAGCGTAAAACATATATATAAGGCGTGTCGGACAAACCAATTACGTCAATCAGTACTGTACATACATTATATACCACTAGTTCAAACCATTTATTATTTCATATGGTGAGAGATACAGACTGATAAACGGGAAATTTACCTACAGGGTGACCCTTGTATTGCAGAAAAGCCAAGCAAGTAATGGTACAGCAATCACAGTATAAGGTGTCATTTACAGATATTTGGATTATTACCACGAAAAAGTGCATGGCAATAGTTTCAACAGCTTTAGAAAAGTTTGCCAAATCAATACTGACATTAGATTCTTCATAACCATCATTTAGGATCCGATTTTCTGTCAAAATACCATATGCATCTTCCAAATGTTATATATCAATTTATTTATGTGTCAGTTCAGGTACGTAATGTGTATTTCATTAACATATTGTGAGGCGCTAAATATACAGGTGAGGAACATCAAACGTCCCATGAAATACATGCACCTTATCCCTCTATAAATTGTAAATATAGTTGCTGACTTTTCAGTTTCATGTGGGTTGTGAGTCTTCACTAAATGTTAAGTCCAAAAACATCTCTACACTTTAGTGTCAGCCAACTTCTTCTAATATTTCGATCAAATGATAATATCCCTAACGTCGGAATATATAGAATCTGAGCGTGATCTTGAAATCGCTCAGTTACCATAGAGTAAAATATTTAGAAGTTAATAAAGTGAAATATAAATAGCTACAAAGAGAAAAGTAATTTTACGTGTTATTGGTGGTTATGATGGACACGTAACTTGAAAATTGCAAGGTTTTTACCAAACCTAAAATTCTTAAGAGAGGCGGGCGGTCGGGTAGCCTAGTGGTTAAAGCGTTCGCTCGTCACGCCGAAGACCCGGGTTCGATTCCCGACATGGGTACAATGTGTGAAGCCCATTTCTGGTGTCCCCCGCCGTGATATTGCTGGAATATTGCTAAAAGCGGCGTAAAACCATACTCACTCACTCACTCACTTAAGAGAGGCGGATAAAGACAATGAAATAAACTTTCCATATTCATATTAAGAATTTGTGTCAAACAAACACTCGATTGTATAATTCCGACCATATCATGAGTTTGTTTCCATTAATCGCCATCAAGTAGTGATAATACCAGCTGTTGGCGAAAAGGCGAGCGTATCCGCCTCCGCTATTTTCCCGGTTGCACCCCGTCACAAACACATGCAAAACCAAGTCAATTGTTCACCCGAAAAAAAACCAAGGGAACAAGTTAAAAAAGGGAACTGTATCAAGCATCATTTGGTCACTGATGAGTCAAATTTGGAAATGTCATCCACATGTCTACCACAAAACGTTTTAAAAGCTTTATGTCGTAACTAAGAACACTCTTTGAAATCACCGTGGAAAGAGCTTGCTCGAGTGTACCTCAAAAGTTGTGAAATGTAGACAGTTGGGAACCATTTTTCTTGGCTCACGACATATAAACGCCTTATTTCTTTTGAACAAATACATGATCATCGAGATTTTTCTGTATCCTCTTATTCCAAAGGTGTTCAATTATATAATGGAAATGCGTTTCAAGCTTATTACGAGCATAACTGTTTCACACAATAACAAATAAGTTATCCTTGTGAAGACTACGGTATTGTTAATGTTTTTGGGTGTTTTTGTTTAACGCCGCACTCAGCAATATTCCAGCTATATGACGGCGGTTATTGTTAATGCCTGGCCCTTCCATACACTATAAGGATTCCTCGCTAGGATTTGTAAACGTTTTGTCCCTGTTTGTTTATGAAATTGTCCCACAAAACAAGATGGACATTTAAACGTAGTGTCCACACAGGTGTGCTACGTAAGGCGGCGTCTTTGATGTAGGTGTAAAGTTTTGACAGGTAAGTGAGTACACGCTCACCTGGTGGAGGCTACTTTAATGTACCGCTACCTCGTCGACGACTGCTACCGTTTTAATTAGATAAACAAAGATATAGTTCTTATTGCTGTGAAAACAATCAAGATGTTTCAACTTAAACAGCATGGCGGCTATACATGAAGAAAGAATTCCTGATTATTAACAACACAGACGTGGGAGCAATGAGTGGGTGGTGTATGGTGGTTGACTTAAAAGAAGCCCGATGGTCATGGTACGGGTATAAAGTCGAAAACTTCCATCCTTGAGTCATCAGTCATAGAGCTGCCCTAATCGAAACCAGCAAGACTCGTCACCGAGATCATCTTCACATTTCGAGCATTTTCTCTTTTAAAAGTATTCTATACAATTACCACACTATAATGAAAGTGAAGAGCCCCGAAACCAAGCCAAGCAAGTGTACCGTCAACAAGACAATCGTTCCGGCAAGGAACAGAATCAAGTACTCTGCTAGTAAGGTAAACATTTAATTGCTCGAAACGTGAATAGGAAGAAAACATAAACTATTGTTATTTCAAAAGTAAATCGAAATACAAAGTTAACACGTTTTCATCTCCGCTATCCATATCCACAGTTGAGGCAACTGGAGAAGGTATTCGTGTCCTCTCAGTATCCTGACAGCTCCATCTTGGAGGATCTCTCCAACACCATCAACATCGACGTAGAGAGACTATCGGTAAGTAAATCCTCTTTATTACACCTAACAGAAGTTCTCGAAAGAGATAATTGATCACACAATACACAATATCATAGTGATATAAAACTCTCTTTCTTGTCCTTTTAAATGTACATAGGACCCATGAAATGTACTGAAGGGAAATTCTAACTTTTACTGCTTTATTCAGTTTATATGGTACATAGTTTGGACTTAAAGAATTGTTGTATATTTCATTTCATAATCTTTTCAACCCATATAAAAGACCCTGATTTCATGAAATGTCTCGATAATAATGACCTCTTTCTGCCATACAGATCTGGTTCCAGAACCGCCGTTCCAAGTTCAAGCGTCAGTCTAAAGGTGCTCACGTGAACTGGATGAGACAGCAACTGTATCAACAAGGAACGTCACGGTCACGTGACGTAACGGCTACGGACGAGTGTCACGTGCTCACACCACCAACGACTTCCAAGAAAGATGACGTGAAAGACAAACCCAAATCAAAGTAAGTACACACCAAGTTAGTTACACAGGCGCGTAGTGGGCTGTTATTAGCTTCAACACAATGGCATGTCTGTCTCGGACTAACAACAATCTCTTCTCTTCTTCAGCCTCCACTACCTACCCAGCACTGGACCCGGCTGCTCCTCAGTGACGGACTACGACCCCGTCTACAACCCCCTGATGTACCCATCATCACACAACGTCTACAGCGCACTCAGTGACGCAGTATCCTGTACACGGCCTACCCAGAATACTCTCCACTACCCACATCTGATGACAGAAACATCCTTCCAAGTCACACCATGCCCGCAACAGTGGACAGAGTATTCCAACCAGTCCAACTTCAGCTCTCCCGGAACTCCATACTACCAGAATTATCTACCCCACTTCAACTTCCTAAGCGATCAGATGACATTTCCCCAGATAGGCGTCTAGAACTTTCGGGAATGTATTAGTGGTCAGATGAAGAACGAGGGCGTAATTTGTGCAATATGCACTGCAGTCCAATGTTGAACTCA